ATCACTGAGCAGTTGCTGCCCGGCACGAGCTTACACCCTCGGTGTATGCCGGTATTGAAATCCATCGCAACGATATTGGAAACAAAGACACTGTTGGCTTTTCTTGCCAAACGTCTTGAGCTGTCCGATCTGGAAAACACTCCGCATCAACAATACTTAGCCATAGATTTGTCTTTAAAAAGTTTTTGTGTCCGAGTTCGATAACCATGATCATATCTGGTATTGATAAATTGGACAAGCCGATCCTCGTGTGTAATTTTGATGGTGGGACAGGTTGAAAACCCATGGTATCAAAAAGTCATTAAAGTTACCATCCACCATGTCTTGAAACATGATCTTGACAATGCCTTTCTTGCAACAAATGCTCTGGGACGAATTGCTTTAAACAGAGTAGTGAGAAAGATAGCGCCAATGAAAAGGGATTTGAATGGATTAATGTTACCTCATAGCAAATAGGGCAACCAAACATGTGAAGGGCTTAAGGTTCCAGAAAGTGCAACAGATGGAGTCTATCACAAATGTTCATCCTTATTTGCAGCTTAAAGTCTCAAAACGGAAAACATTCTACCTCGGTCAGCAAACACACTTCGGACAATTCCCTACGATCTCTATTTCCCTTCACTTCAATCTGTGCTGAATGAAAGGATTTGCAGTTACTCAGTCCTTCACAAGCAAATAGCAGTTCCATCAAAGTTTATCAGACCAATGGAGTCGATGCTAGAAGGCAATACGAAATGATGGTCTTACAAGCAAATGCAGAGAATGTGGAAAGTGTGGACTGGATTGAAGAGGAGGAGCTTGATTTGGAGGGAATATCCCTTACAATAAACGAAGTTAATCTGGACACAAATTGATTTCCTGTTCGTTCATTGGAGGAGCATCTTACTTTGCCATGGGATAATGTAAACTATGAAGAGAAAGTACTTCAGATTTTAAACCCTTATATTTTTGTGGATCTCTTGAAACTTTAATGTTAGTAAGAACTGAATTGATTAAGTTGTTTAATTTAGATTTCATTTTGTTTTCTTTTAAAATTAATTATTTGTTTAGAATAAATAAGCAGTCCTTATAAAAGCCTGATTAATTAAACTATTTTCCATAAAAGATTGTTGTTTTGCATAAAAGATTGTTGTCTGTCTGTCTAGTTAACTGATTTACATTTTTATTTTTCAGCATTTCAAACAAGCTGTGGAAGCGGGGGGGGGTGTAAAATATTTAGGACGTCACTAGAGGGGTCTGTGTTTTTGTGACGAGGAGGAGGGGAAAATTGCAAAAAATTGCGTGACGTCATATATGTGGACGACCCCATTAATCAGTGTATTTGGAAATAGGGTTGAGTGAGATGACTAACAAGTCAGCGAAAACAAGTAATGTTTTTCTGACTCTGACCTCTAGCAATACTAGGTTAATTTCATATCATGTTGTATAATGTGCAATGATTGAAACATTGCAGCTTAAACCAGTCTGTATGGCAGAAAGACGAGGGAGAAAGTTTAGCTTCGTTTGCATAACGCAAAAACAGACAATTAAAAGGGATAATCGTTTAAGTATTGTATCTTCTATCTGCTGATAGATATAATGCTGGTAGAGATTAAGAGAGGTGTTTACTGCGAGAGAGAGAGAGAGAGAGAGAGAGAGAGAGAGAGAGAGAGAGAGAGAGAGAGAGAGAGAGAGAGAGAGAGAGACATCGCACACAACAAGAATAAGATAGGTGTTTTAAACCGCGCCGCATGCTTTAGGTAACAGAGTATAAATACATTTTTGCGCAGTTCTCCATCAAGCTCGGTCAACAGCATTGATTCCAGAACAGAGATTATATCCACACAGTTTGAAGCGCAGTAATGTTCTATATGGTCATTTATCCGGGCACTAGTTTGATATTAGATATCCACCCGCTGACGTGTGGTATTTTAGTTTAACAAATGATGTTAGTCCTTGTGTGATGTATAAAAAAGAAAACCCAAGGCATTGGAATGAGTTGCTGCGAGACTCGATTTCCTTCACTTCATAGGCAGCTTAGATTAACATTCTCCCAAGGAATTATGCTGTCAGAGATCTGTTCGAAATAGTTTGTTCTGTCGACTCCAGGAAAGAAAACAGGAAGTTAGCATTTTCGGAGATTGTAGGGTCAAATACTTGCACATGAATTGCTTTTCAGAAATTTACCCTGGTTTAATAATTGTACATTACATTCAGTTCAACAGTTACTTAATTGGATCAATTACATATGCATATTCTTACTATCTGGATATAATCATATTTTCAAATATGAATACAAGAGAATCAAAGTTTGCACCCAGGGCCCCTCACCATTGGCTGTTACCACGGAAGGCCATACTGGGTCTATTTTCCTTGGGATTGTTGCTGATGGTCATTGGAGGTATCCTCATCGCCATAGGATCGCTTGGGTGAGTATATTATATGTTTGCGTCATGAACATTCACCTATACAACATTAATAACTAATCACAAATATGAACAACGCACGAACACCATGATATTTAGATTGTGTCTCCTCCTTCCATCGCACTCGGCAGATTTACATGCCATTCTAGATTCGTTAATGTTTTATATTTACATTATCGGTTTTTATTACCACTTTCTGTTTTCTCTTTGATGTATATAATTTAATTTTCGTCGTAGTTCTTTACATGTAATCGTGTGCACGTGGTCAGATATACGTTTCATGTACGTTGTTTTTTTTTCTGACTACAACTTTTGATGTCGACTAAAATAAGTGTACACAAGTCAAAATTTCTATCAAATGTTGCTGGTAAATTAGTTTTTCTTTCATGAAACATTCCCTCACTTGTTAATATACTGCAATAAAGAATGGGTAAATATAATTTCTCACGCTTGAACTTGTGTCAGATTTTCGTATCTCAATAGATCAAGGACGTTACATTTATGATCAGAGTTGTTGAATAACGTGGACATAGGTCGTCTATCTGAGAGCCCTGGCTTTCACCCTCTGAATTTGTTGGTTTGTTTTGTGAGATCATAGGATAGCGCTGACAATGACGTGCTTGAATGAAAAGACGTATACAGTCTCAACCTCAAATACTTAGAAATATACATTATGGACTGATAAAATGGTCTTTTATCCTTGACTGTATTATATATGTTATATTCACCGTTCCCATTTGAATAAAGCAAGTCTATTTCATTGCACATTTTCCAATCAATGCAAGTTTCTCTGGGCTCTACGGTACAAATACCAAGTTTCAGCCGTTAGATGCTACGTTAGCAAAGAGAGGTGCAATAGCCGTTACGTTTGCAAAGAAAGGTGCAATAGCCATTTCATTTGCAAAGAATGGTGCAATAGCCGTTACGTTTGCCAAGAAAGGTGCAATAGCCGTTCGAGTGCTGCATTTGTAAAGAAGTAGATTAGCATCATTTAATCTCAATCACAACACCGTCTTGGATTTTGTAGTGTTATTCAGTCATAAAGGTAAACATTCTTGGGATCAGTGTATTTCTGAATCAGAATATTACAATATTTAAAAAGAAAAAGTTCCATTCTACCTATAAAAAAATGGGATGAAAAAGTTATTTCCCCACTCACACAAGCTATTGATCGTTTTTTTATAAAACAAATCCATTTTTTGTTTTTTCTTTTTGTTGTTTTTGTTGTTTTCATTTTTGTTGTTTTCTTTCTCTTTTTCTAATCTTTAGGTATCGAAACGTTTGTGGCTAAAATCAATAGCCAAATTTATTTTTATTTTTTCCGAGAAATTCTACGCATATTTCACCTATATCTACTTATTGCCAAAACCCAGTCACTTTTGACTATTCAGCTGCACTGACACAGTTTAGGCGGAGAATAAAAAGTAAAGAAGTAAATCTGACTAAAATCAAAAACAAAACAAAAGAACGAAATAAATCCCACAACAAACAACTAAGCAACGTAGAGATATAGAGAAGGGTAAAATACAGTATTTAAAAAGAGGAAACAAATTGCATGTTCATTTCCTCGGTCTAGACAATCCGACTACTGAAGTGGCTGATAATTTTTCAATCAAACATTGGAAAAACTACACTTCTATGAGGCGCCGTAGCGGACAAAAGCTGGTCCAATGAGAACGTTGCAGTTAAAATTTCAGTGTCGTATGTCGAGAAATCCAATATCACTTTTTGGATCATATTGCATGTCATTAAAGTTCATTTTCTAGGTCGAGATTTTAGGTTGCATTTGTTGAATTAAACAGTAGTGATTAAAAGTTATATTTTCTATGTCGAGGTTTTAGATTGTGTTGTTTGAATTATACACATCGATGGTTCAAATTTCAGTGCCATACACTGAGAATTCCCATTTCACGTATTGGTTCAAAGAATTTTTGTTGAAAGTTCCATTTCATATGCTGAGTATTTAAATTTCATCTGTTGAATCTGCGCAAAATGATGTATCTTAATTCTCGTTCATTATTTAAGTTAAATCTGAAGAAAAAAAATGAAAAGTGATGTCTGGCTTTGGGGCCATGATATCCCACCCAGTTACATTATCCTTTTACAAGGACGACCAGTCCTAGCACTAACCTCAATGCTGAGCACCTAGTGAGGTAGCTGTTTAGTACTAATTTTATATTTTGGTATAACTCAGCTGAGGTTCGATCCCACGACCTCCCGCATCCGAGTGGACGTTCCAACACCACCGGAGCGGTAATACTGCGATGTATAATTGTTTCATATCCACTCATTTGTTTCGGCTTTTAATGCAAAATACACTTCAATACATTTGGTGTGTGTGTGTGTGTGTGTGTGTGTGTTTAGATTTTTTTATGTAGCTTTAACAATTTTTCAGTCATATCCCTACGATGTCTGCAGTGTGGCAGTTTATAGTGATGCCTACCTAGCACACGGGCATCTTGCCGCGGACATGTAGCATGATGTCCTACCCAGTCACATTATCCTGAAACCAGGCCAACCAGTCCTAACACTGACCCCTTAATGCTTCGCTCCTAGCGAGACCAGTATTAGTACCATTTTTATAAGTTTTTGTTATGATTCAGCCGGGGTTAGAACCCGCAACCTCCTGCATTCGAAGCGGACACTCTAACCACTAGGCCACCAGAGCGGTCTGCTATTCATTACGTAGCTTTTAAATGAACGGCCGTTACAGTTTATTTCATGGTCAGTATTGCTCAATTCTTATTTAAATGCAGTCTGTTCAAATGGCAACGGATTCCTTTTATATACTGTTTCATAATGTTGAAATTCAAGAGAATGGTGGGTAAGCATTTCCGAGGAATAAGCAACATTAAAATCTGTATCATCTCTTATCCCGAAAACACAAGATCTGGGCTGCAACACCCAATAATACTTGTATATTATTTTCTTCTTATATACAAGCCACTGGATCAGTTCCAGCAAAAGCGCCCTTTAGTCTGTGCCAGGAGCTGTATAGGCTGTATCATTAAAGCGTTTCAGATGAAATTACTTTCCATTTGGCAAGTGATGATTTCGTGCTTATGGAGTCGCGGTACTAATTCAGTTTCCATTGTAAACCTATGCAAACAACATTATATTAAAAATTCAAAAACTTAAAATTTCTGAGTTTTCATGGTCAAGCCTATATTTATCAGTATATATTAAACCTGGATGTCAGCTTCTATGTAGAGGAAAGGATATATTTTATATTTCCAGGTCCGTTCCCATTTTCCATACAAATAGTACCGTGTGCCCATAATAACCATATAACTAGAACGTTGCGCTTATTTTGTTATGAGCATTCTTTTAACCACAAACGCTTGTTTCATTGTGGTTATTGTAAACCTCAGCAACTACATTTCTGTGAAGTTATCTACGGACCTTTGAATTAAAATCTTGGCACAAAATTTGTGACCTTTACAGAAAAGTCCGACATTGGATAATTCTAATATGTCTATCCAACTGGGCACATTAATTTTTTGAAACGGCATGAATTCACTCAGCAGTTACGCGATGCTATCCAACACATTTGCTCACAAGACCACGCATTCTTATTATATTGAAGAGGAATTTGAAATATTACGTAGAAATTTGCTGAAAATTTATCAGGACAATGATTCGCAGTTGCGCTTGGAGCATATACGATGCAGATTGTTGTTGTTATTAACGGATTCAAGAGGAATTTTGTTAATTTTTTCCAAACCAAAAGCGCAACATGGAAACACGTCTGCATTGAAAGTGATACGTTAATATTTCATATATGAATACACAAAACTGTTTTAACATAATTGCATTATTTGTTGTGCTTGTGATAAGTTTGAATGCACTTTTTATGCTAAGTGAATGCTTTTGTCGAATTGTGTATTATATCTGAATTGTAATATTACGTGGAATTAAGAAAATGTGTGTAAAGGTGTTGTTTTTTTATTACCTTGCCTTGTTTTCTTTTACAATTATATTTAGAATATTTGAATTCGTCATCATCTTCAATAGCGCTATTTTTGTTAAATTTTTCAAAAATTGAGAATTTAGTTGTAACTGGTGTTAACAAAATGCCACCCTATACGTTAATTTCTTGAATGGCCATAATCATATTTTATACCTATACTTCCAAAATTGGATTTTTACATAAAATATTTAAAAATTGTATACGGAATTATTTTGAATGCAATCCTTTTTATTGAAGGTTCTTTTAAAATTTGCTTTCAACTTTATGAAGAGCTGAAACTAATACAACTGTTTTATCGTTTTCAGGCTTTAGACTAAAAATAAAAAAAATATGTTGTGCCATTTATTTATATTGTTGTTATGCTGACTTAAATAAAACTTGTGTCTTACAAAGTACTTTTTTTCTAACACCTTACAAAGTACTCATTTTATAAAAACCTTACAAAGTACTCATTTTACAACACCTTACAAAGTACTCATTTTATAAAAACCTTACAAAGTACTCATTTTACAACACCTTACAAAGTACTCATTTTCTAACACCTTCAAAATATTATGACATTAATGAACTAAGATTAAACGAGTCACCATAATTAGCGAGCAGTAAATCCAATGTAAATGCACCTCTTTGGTAATGTACATGTATTGGTTTATTTCAATGTGCCATTATTATTTCTTTCTTTTTCAAGATATCATGATAAAGTGTCACTTTGCGTGAATCTGAAATAAAAAAAACTTACTAGTTTATCAATGATACCCTTATGAAATGTTTTATCTGACCATTTGAGGATACAGGTTAACGCGGCGTAAAGAAAGTTAAACATTACCTTCAGTCACTAGGACATCATTGTATAAGTTTATTTATTGTAACTATAATATAATATTTTCCTAAACATGATTAATATATTAATTGAAGATTGTTGTTGTTGTTGGGCTTAACGCCATTTTTCAACACACGATAGGCTATTCATGGCGGCCAGTATTAATGGTGGAGGAAGAAACCGGGAAATCACCGGAAAGAACCACCGACCCACGAGAAGCTACTGGTAAGCTTTCCCACATATCCACATTCGCCGAATCCTAGACTCGAACACACGCAGAGGTGAGATGGCAGTGATCCGTAACGGACAGCGCTTTAGACCACTCGGGGCCCCTCAAATTGAAAAAAAAAATGTGTTTTATTATTATATGACAGTTATACATGTGCTATACAAAAATGGGTACAAATACATAACGAAATCTTAAAAACAAAACAACCCACAACAGACGCCATGCTATACATTCTGATAATGAATAAGTATGCTTAAGTTTCCAAGAACAGCACGATTCTGTTTATTTGGCCTCTTCTAGTAAACTGTTTTTTTTTGTTATGATATTAGCTTTTCCTCATATATCAACAGCAACGTGCTGCCCGATTTTCGCTATAGAAATTCTAATTTCATGACTATGTCATTGTTTGTAGTGTTTAAAGCTTTTCTTTGACGTACGATGTGATAATATAATCTTTCATTTATGTAGGCAAGTTTGAGATTGTCAAGAATATTTTCAAGTAAGTGTATATGTTGCGAATGCTGCTAGATCTGCCATTTCCACAGTAGTCCTCTGACACAGGGTGTTTGGTCGACTTATTTCGAACAATCTAATTCAGGCTCTTTTTTTTATCATCACCTTGTCAACAGACTACTACACATAATGCTAAACTACTGCTGATCTACACATAGATCTACACCAGTCTCTGTAACAAGATATTTCCACCACAGGAGTCTGCAGTTTTATCAATAAAACACGACGAAATTTATGACAACATGAAATCCCTTAACGGTATTATAAATTAACACAAAGAATACAAGCGTGACCACAGCACTCCGCTCGATTCTACTTTTCCCACGCATCTTTTATCGCTTCAGGAAGGCAAGAAGGCTAAAAAAAAGTACTATATTCTGTTTCAATTTATGCTAATTGTATTGTATACAACATCCCCTTTTATTTTAAAAATTAGTAACCTTTACTTTATTAAATAATTAATACATGTATATGGGATATGCTAGACATATAGGGTATATTAAAAAAAATGAAAACTTTGCAGTCTGAATCTATTATCATATTATCAGTTCATATTTACTGAAAAAAAAACAATGCAACATTAGATGTCTAGGGTCTATATGTTAAGAGTTAATAATTCACGTGTAGCACACAAAGTCTTTCAGATAAGCAGGCTCTCTGATATTTCTCTTTGGTCTGTCTCTTGGTGCAGTCGTAGTCGTTATATCTGAATTTGGCAATGTCATCTTTAACATTCTCTGAAGGTGATATTCCGGAGCTATTTGATGCACTTGGTATTGCCGCTGTTTGATCTTTGTCGCTAATTGTCGGTACTTCACTGTTCTCGGTTCACATAAAGGTGAAGTCTCCCGAGTGCGTACTTTTATCTTTGTGGGTCGTATGTGCACACAATTTGGTTTCATATGTGACTTATTCCACTTTTTTAAAGTTGGCGTTGTTGGCATGACTTGTTCTTTACGAACATACTTCTGGCAGATAGTGTTGATGTCAGCGCCGCTATCTAACTGGAAACGCACTTCACAATTGTTAATATTCGTTAATGCAGAAATTCTATTTTTCGGTCGGGATTGTATGGTATTAAGCCAATTTTCTTCGTCGTCTGTTCTTTGTGCGTTATATATATATATATATATATATATATATATATATATATATATATATATATATATATATATATATATATATACCTTGAATTGATTCCTTTCTTTGCATTCGTCGCATGTTTATTTGACTGCTCAAAATGCACGACACATTTGTATGGTTTTGTCCAGGTTTAACTTGTCTTGTCTGAGTAAGAGTTCCGGGAGTTTTCCTTTAACTGTGAAAACTATTTTATCTCATAATTCTATCCTTCTCGCTGAAATTACATGCAGACGCTATCGTTCTAAGCATAGTTAGGAATCTGTCGAAAGGTTCTTGGTACGGTGCATTCCAGAACCTATGTGATTTCAGAATCTCATTTTTTCTAGAGTTACAATATGTCTCAAGCTTTTCAAGTACCTTGCTGGGTTTGTTTTCGTCGCCATCAGCGTCCCATGCAAACTGATCATAAATATCCAAACTATGTGGTCCTGCACAATGCAAAAGTATGGCCGTTTGTAACTCATCCTCTTTATCAGTTGCTCCACTTGCAATTAGATAAATATGTACTTGTCGTTTCCAGTGTTTAAAGTTTTCCGAAACGTTCACATCGGTAACATTTAATATTGGCGGTAAACTCAATGTGCTAGAAGATTGTCGGCCATGTTGTCGTCAACTTTTCACCACTGGACCAGCAGTACTTAACACTGTGATAAAGAATGCAAATTGCACAACTTCTATAATCAGTTTACCTCTAAAACTGCAGAATTATCGATGCGTCCTTAATTGGTGGTCATCGCTGCCACCATGTTGATATATTGTCCAATAGTATGGGACAGACAAGTCAACTTCCAAACAGGCAGACAAAACCAGATGTTGTTCTCAGAGCAATACAACTTTTATTAGGTCATCATGTACACACTACGCATTCCATCAAAGGCTAGTAACAAACATCGGTCACGTGACTGCACCGATAAATTGAATGAATCTACTATATTCTGTTTCAATTTATGCTACTTTGATTTTTTTTTTCAACAACGGTCACAAACCCTGAAA